TTTGGAGACTTTTCTTAGACTGTTTCCAAACACAGAGGATGTGGGAGGGACAAGACGCCCCCACATTCCTTTTTGCAGCATTTGATATAAAGTATTTGCAAGCTTAGAAGGCTCTGCAGTTTGCCTGAGCCTCAGTGGTCTTTGCTTATCTCCTCTTTCTTATGAATATAGCTCTAAATCAGAATTCCTTGATATTGACGTAATTTGTAGGCTATGAGAAAAAGTGCAGAATGAAATCAAAGAGACAAATTAAAAGAATGATTTATCTCAAGTGTACGAAACAGTGGGCTAACTGTGGTTCCATCATCTACGTGATTACATAACAATGGCTCTATCCTAGACACCCTTCATCTCGGGAGGAATATATTCAATTCTTGATGCAATCTTGAGCCCTAGAGCAGACCATCATAGCCTGATGGTCAGGTAGGCAGGGACCTTAAACAATTCCACCTTATCAGCAGAATCACAATGACAGAAAGTTGAACAGTAGACATTTAATCAGACAATAAGTGACGCAGTTGGATAAGACCACCAACATCCCAGAGATAGCATAATTAGTTTTCCATTTGTCATATGCCCTCCCATAAAAAGCACATAAGAAAGTCTATGGATTGGAGATGACCTTCGACTATTTTAGGGTTACAACTTTTGAAATTGCCAATATTCAACTTTCTTAACCTACAAAAACAGTGATTTAATATCGTTCAACCCTATATAGCCCAGGACAACCAACCGTTCTTCAAAATAAAATTGAACTGTAGCTTGAAAGATTTAATTAAAGTATAACACAGGCTTTCAGTCTAAAGGTTGTTCAACATTTAAATATTCGTCTAGCCGCATTTTGATGGCTTCTCCTTTAGGATGTGTAAAAAAGACAGCGAGAAAAAGAAGAAAACCAATTTTGTGTGGGAACCTTGATTAAAATACAGTTCAAGCTGGGATAGACTAGGTGACATTTCCAGGACGCGCTCATTTTCCTACTTATATGACTGAAGTTCTGTTCTATAAAGGTTAGTTTTTTGGCTGCAGCTAGGAATTAAGCGCGGAATGAAGTTCATCCTACCCTCTACCTTCAATGCTAATTTTCACCTTCAACGCCAAGCCAAAGCTTCCCTCTGCCACCTCCCCTGACCAGCTTGCATCTCAGCTAAAATCTGCACATTGCATATTCGCAGCACACAGCACTTCAGTAGCCACGGCTTTGCCTCATCCTCCGGGCAAGATCAAATTGCTTAGCTAAACACACTGCTATGCTAATTTTTCTCTGTATATGTGTTGTGTGCTCTGTGTGTGCGTGTTCATGTGCGTGTGTGTGTGTGTGTGTGTGTGTGTGTATGAACATGTTCTGTGCAGTTACAGATGCAGATGCCACTGTGAAGAATCTAGAAAAAGAAGCTGATCGGCTCCTAAACGAACTCAAACCCATCAAGGAACTTGAGGATAACCTAAAGAAAAACATCTCTGAAATAAAAGAGCTAATAAATCAAGCCCGGAAGCAAGCCAATTCTGTGAGCTCTTTTTTCTTTCACAATCAGTAACTCATCATAACTGTCATTATTATTTATTTTTTTTTAATTTTATGTATTTGGTTCAGGGTCTCACTATGCAGCCCTGATTTATAGTGACCAACCTGTCTCAGCCTTCCCAGTGCTGAGATTACAGACATGCGCCACCATGCCCAGTCTTGGTGGCCTAGCATGTGGTAGCAGGAATCGAGCCCAGGTCCTTGCACTTGCCTACACAGGCACTTAGACTGCTGAGGAATCTCTGTAGCCTTGACAATATTATTTCTAAAGGGAATGTCACACAAACACACACACACACACACACACACACACACACACACACACACACACTGGTATATCCAGCTGAATGAATGATCGCAAATTCTTCTCTTTTCCTTTACTTTAAAGCTATTTTCAAACAGAAGAAGGAATCCTTTTTTATAAATTGCAAATGGAGTTTCAAGAGAATTCTGATTTCCCTTGTTGTTTTAACATTGGGAATCCTGGTATACTTTGTTACTGCTCAAATAGACTAAAGTTTATCGTGTCACGGAGGAAATAATGCGTGTGTGCCAAGAACTCTAAGTAATGCAGGAATACTGTCCCAGTTACATGGCTTGAAGAAAGTGCTCTAAAATGAGAGATCGCCTCTAGCAGGACAGAGGAGAACCCAGAGGGAAGAATCTGAGCCAGGCTTGAAGTGCCCTCACCTGGACAGGGAGGAGCAGGGAGGGAGGACACAGGAAGGCATTGCAAGACAAGGCCTGGTTTGAACACGGCAGAAAGCAAAGTCAGGGAATCAGCTCATAAAGGCCATTTCTTTTTGTCATGAGGAACTGAAGAAAGTAAACATTAAATTGGAAATGTCATAGGAAGCCACTTGCTATCCGTGCTCGAGTGATGAGTTAAGTGCAATCTATTGTTTGACAATGATTGTACATGGGATGGACCCAGTGGTGAAAGAGTCTGAGCATGAACACTTTCATCAGAGTATCTAAGATCTGCTCTTCTTAAATGTCAATCTAGAAGGAGTCTGCAGCCTGTGAGGAAACCTAGACAGGAGGCTAACGGTAGCAGAAAGGAAGTACTGGCCTCTCCCTTCATACGCATTTTAACACTGATGTCTTCAAAAAGTAGTAGTATATATTCTTTTATGAATCACACATTTAATCATAGTTTCTGATTTAATCAGCAAGTAAAATAGGGAAATCTTGACATTTTATTATTCATACTTGCCAATTCTTTACTCCTTCCTCATAAAAAAGAAAATCTTGTGACATGTAAATACATTATGTACTTCTGTCTCAGAATAAAAAATACATGTAAAAAATGTATCAAGTGATACTTTCGAGGAATTTTAATTTGCTTTGCAAGTGGAAGTTACAACAAAATGCTTTATCTTCATTAGCTATTAGGACTATGCAGCCAGTCGTTTTCAAAGAGTTTTGTAAAAACTGAAAATTATATTTTTTGATTTGTCATAGAATTTCAACTTGGCTTGAGTGTCTGGCTATGGCCCTAATATATATTTGAAATTAAAATGAAGAAAGATTTCTTACTTAAAAATTAAAGACATTTATTTTAAAGTAGCTTTCTTTTGGGCTTGTTGATTCTTGAATTGAGGAGCTGACACTCTTTAAATGAATGTCCTAGTTACTGCACAAAAACACAATGGAAATCCAATACATGAAACAGGATTCTCAGTAATATTTAACTGAGTTCATGATGATTATAGGATGAATAATGTTATATCAGAAATGTCCAAGAAATATCAAGTGCCTCGTGATTTGTTTTAGAAATCTCATAAAGGGGCTGTATTTGAAATACAGTGACTGATAGAGCCAAAGGATGTTTGAAAAAGAGATAGGTATACCCTAGAAGTTTTTTCTAAATAAATTTGTAGATATTTTATTTTGATTTACCTGTTTTAAGTTGCCCAAAAACATATCTGTAATTGTGAATCAAATCACAAAGTATTTATAAGGTGAAATCAGTAATTACAAATTGATTGCCGACAGTGTGGGCAGCCTGCCCCTTTTAGATACTGAGATTATGTTCGAAACCAGAAAACAGAAATAACAGAGGGCTTTTTGTTTGACATGTGTATGTAAGAATGGAACAGTAGATTATCTTTATAAGATTAACTGCTGGCCTATTGGATATGACAATGTCATTTTGTTCCAAGAACTAAAATTTTAAATGTGCAAAATATGTCATAAAATGGATTAACTGGAAATCCTAGTAATATTAAATATGCTTGGTTTAAAGATAGCTGCTTTGTTAGACTGAATTCTATAGGTGAGCTTGGTAGTGCATCTGGTGTCGGCACTGGTGCTCCATTGTACACTGTGACAACCCCTTCCCATATACAGCTGCGTCATCACCTCGTGCTCTCATCACCTCGTGCTCTCCTGGGTCTCTGAACCCAAGGTCCAAGACTAAAGGGTCCCACGTTCCATCATTTCCTCTCTAAACACTAGCTGAGGAGAGCTGTTTCACTGTAACCTTTAAATAAACAGATTTGGTTGAGATTAATTCTACTGCAGCATGGTCCTGCAGTCAAGCCTAGGAAGCACTTGTGAAGTGAAGATAAAAGCGGACTTCTTTCACTATGAGTCCCCACCCTGATTTCAGATAGGATTTCTTGCTGTGGATAGCTCAGGCTATTTAGTGCTGCTCGTGAATTGCAGTCAGATCTTGATCTCATGTTCTCCTCCGTTCCTTTAGGCCCGTGGCACCTGTGCCCTGGCTCAGATACTAAACTTGCTCAACACCTATGTTTCCAGTCATGATGCTTTGGGATCACCAGCTGCAAATTCCCAAACGCTGTCTGCCTCCTACCTAGTTTTCTGAACATTAAGAACAAGAGAAGCCTGCATTTTCCCTGCCTGCTCTCTACTACATATGGTCTTTCCCCCAAGTTGCTTTATCCTTTTAATTTCAAGCTTTGAATAACTCATTGCCCCACAGATGTCCAGTCCTGTCGCATGCGTTGCCAACTTCCATTGCATGTCTTCTATACCATTAACACCCAATGTAATAGTTGTACACTTCTTGCTAAAGGTTTTCTGTAATTCTTTTGGATTCACCTACTCTCAGCTCCATAGATAAAGGGAAATTTCCATCACTTGTGAAGCAAAAAATCAACCTCTTCACTGAAAACTGCATTACCAAGAAGGCAACCTGTCTACCAGACAGAGCGAACACTGGGCTTCAGGGGTCACCCCTCCCCAGTCCTGAATTCCTCAGTTAAGAGGCAGGGCTCACCCTGAAAGAGAAGGCAAGGATAGGAAAGCAGCCTCAAAAGCAGCTTCCTATGTCATTCTAGCTTCGGGCCACCGTACACAGGTCCGCGGGATTGACCCTTTCTTGGATAGCAGCCCCTACCTAATTCTTGCAAAACAGTTTCCTCTGCATGGAGATGCAATGAGCTCAGCTGCTCGGGCAAGGAAACAACTCCACCTAGATATGTGAACTATGTGGAGCCCACAGGAGCTGCCAGAGGTCTGCTGTATTCCCAGAGGTTCTTGAATGTATATGCATTTTCCTGGTTGTCAGCATAAATCCATCCCTACCTCTCCTTTTTGAATCCAGCCAGTTTTACACCTAGCACCTCCTCAGTACAGTCGTCACCCTTGGCTAGGACCCACCATGCTCACTAATGTAATTCTTGGAGACAGCCTCTTGTGTCATTATAGTAAGGAGACTGGCTTGGTGGCCTAGGCTATCTTGCTTGGACTTTGCAAAGGCTTTTTTTTTTTTTTATTTTTATTTATTACATTTATTTATTGTGTGTGTGTGTGGCCAGCTCAGCCCACCAGGGGGCGGGGCTGGCTGGCATGTGGTGCTGGGGATCGAACCGCGGTCCCTGTGCTTTGCCAAGCTTGTTTCAAGTAGGTGCTTTAGACCACTGAGCCATCTCTCCAGCCCTGCAAAGGCTTTTTATAGGGTGAAATAGTACTAGTTACCTTTTCTCCAAATGCACAAACTAAATGAGTAGCACAAAAGGTCAGAAGAAGTGGGAAAATATAAATTTACTGCATGTAAGGGCCAACATTCTCCTGGAAGTTAGGCATTGGAACCAGTAGCAAGAGAATTTTCCTTTCCTCTCTGTCTCCTACTTTGGCTAACACCAATCAGCAAAGTAGCAACTTCTTTCTGAGTCTAAAGAATGACACTACTGTCCTGAAAGTCTCCTTCCCTGTAATTCTGTGCCTCGCCTAAAGGAAATTAAATGCAATAATGTTATTTGTGAATGAAGGAAGACTCCCACAGTGGAAGCCAACACTCGGAGAGAAAGTGTCTTGTGATTCACATTGGAATTTCTTTCTTAGCAATTTACAGTAATTTCTAAAGTACTATTCAAAAGAAAAGGGAACTGTTACACATATTAGTAGTGATAACCATTGGAAATTATTTCTATCTTATTTCCTGAGAACTTAATAAAGAAGTATAATTTATTCTGAAATGTATGTTCTGAGAGGAATGATTAATGTTCTTATTGTTAGACCACCTAGAACAAAATCTATTTGGCCTGTTTCAGCTCTAAAGCGATGGGAGGGCCAGTAATTTCCTCTTGAACACTGAAAGAAAAATGGCTTCCTTACATTTATCCCCTACTTTAAATGATACCAAAAGTGCTGAAATTTGAATTGCAAAATTTCATTAAGCAACCTTAATAAAGTTCATTCCCATTAGCTTCTTGTAAAATCTCCTTTGGAAAAATGTGCCTAAATTCTTAAAGGAGCAAAGTAAGAATTTTCCAGCTGCATGACTCAGAGGAATAGCAGTGTGGCAAGAAAACAAAACTTTGAACAGCTCATTGTCAAAATTCTCATGGAAGCGCTCTCTTCCATACCTTCATTAAAGAATATAAATGGGATCTGCATACGGGTATTTAATGATGCTACTGTTTGGTGACTACAAAGTAACTTCAAAGAAAAAATAGTGATAGCTCTAAGGTTGTTTGGGAGCTACTTCAGACTTTCTGAGGGATGCAGTCTTAAGTCTTTGTACCTTGTTTTTCATGAAGATCAAAGTGTCTGTCTCGTCGGGAGGTGACTGCATTCGAACGTACAAGCCAGAAATCAAGAAAGGAAGCTACAATAATATTATTATCAACGTTAAGACAGCCGTTGCCGACAATCTCCTTTTTTATCTTGGGAGTGCCAAATTTGTAAGTTTAATATTCAACTATCCTTAGACTACTGTATACATGTGGGGTCCGGCAATACTCTTGGCATTAAGGTATGGATGGAATCCAGTAAGATGAGCCCAAAACTGTGTTTCAGCCTTGAAAACCTCAGAGTCTCACAGAGCTCTCAAGTGTCAAGCAAGCAGGAAGGAAATTCTCTAGAGTCAGACATTGTTCTGTCATTTGTCAGTATACTAACATTTAGTTCAGACCATATTTTTGGATCTATCTTTTTAAAAGAAAGATTAGTAAGATAAAGCTTTTAAAAGAACTTTTCAAATGAAATTATAAGAAAAAAAGAAATTATAAGGAATTTCATGTTAATGAAATGAAAATAATGAATTATATACTAATTTATTGTGGATGAAAACTCCCCTAAGTCATGTGGAATTTGTTCATAACTTAGACTGCGTCTTGCATACAAAAACTCACCCACAAAGTTCTACCTCCTTTTGTTTGAGCTAGTTGACTGCCTGAGCATGGGTCTTCCATGTGCAGGACTTTTTAGCAGTCATGGCATGAGTTAATCTGTGCCATTCATTTGAGGAGCTCTGGATCCCTTTGGGTTAAACTATCATAGCCGTGCCCTAGAACTCAGAGTCCTTGTTGAAAATAGTAATGAATCCTGAATTCTGTTATGCCTGCAAATGGCACCTGCTGAGATGCTCTCTGGTATCCTGTTCTTTCCCCTCTTTCAGAGCACCTCTGTACCTGGTAACTCTTGCTTTTGTATTTCTTTGCACCAGATTGACTTTCTGGCTATAGAAATGCGGAAAGGCAAAGTAAGCTTCCTATGGGATGTTGGCTCTGGAGTTGGCCGGGTGGAGTATCCCGATTTGACTATTGATGACTCCTATTGGTATCGAATTGAAGCATCAAGGTAATTATTCAATAAAGAGTAAGAGAACTGAATGACACTTTTGAAGTCATTTCCCAGGTTATGAGCAAACTTCTATTTCCATTTCAATAAGGCAGCTATGGATGAGTACAAACACATGTACGTGGGTTTTAATATATCAAAAGTAGATGTATGAATGTGTGGGGATTTGTGTATCTGTCATACCTCTTAGGTATTGACAAAGCTTCAAAGTGTTCACCAGAGTAAGATGCTCATTTCTGATCCCTTTATCTTCTGTTAGGTAGAAACTTCGTAGCTCATCTATTTTCATCTCATCTCCTTTGAAAAAAGAAAATAAAAAGCACATCTCATTAAATAGTTTGGTCTATCATGACTACCACTATTGCTTAGCTTATGGTACACAGCTCCTCTCCCAACCTACATCACAATCATGCCACACGCAGTGCCAAAACGTTAGCATCCCTGTGGAATACGTTAGGCTCATCCTACTTCACAATAATAATTAAAACAGAAAGTAACAGGAAATTATGTCAGTAGTCCTGTTTTGAAGCTTTAAACCAATCATCAATTTCCGGCAGGATGTACATCAGTTATGGAACCACTCCTGTCTGCAGCACCTTCCTCCTTTTCTATTCTTTGTCCAATTCTCACCTCCCTATTAAATCCAAAGCAGCGCACAGTGGGGTGTACAGCTAAGGGTCTCAAGCTAGTGAGGAGGCTGAGCCAAGATGGGAGAACAATTGAAGAACTGGTAATTACTGAATTGGAGTAAGGGTCCGTAGAGTTTGATTCTGTTGTATATGTTTAAATTGGACAATTTAGTGAAAATGGTAGTTTTATTAAGATGTTCAGCAGCAGAAGTGTGTGTGTGTGTGTGTGTGTGTGTGTGTGTGTGTGTGTGTAAGAGGGAAACAGTTTGCTCACATATATGGAGGTGCTGGGTGCTTTCGTGTGTTTCTGAATTTGAAGACATTTATTCTCATGAGGTACAATTCTTCTATCAGAAGAGAATCATTGTGTTACAGGAGAGTGGTAGTTGACAAAATCATTCTTTTGTTTCCATGTGTTTCACTTAACACTGCCCCCTCAGAGATAAAGAGATTGCCAAAGTGAGACAGCAGGGAACAAAATATGACACTAAAGCTTTGTTATGACTGCTTGTCTCAGAAGAGAGACTAGATTTTCATATTTAACGATTTGTGCAAATCAATCACTTCAAAAAAGAAAATGAGATGAAATGATGATAGCTTTCCAAGTTCTGTTAATTGAATTTAAAACTGAACTTTTATATAATCTGTATACACCACTCTGAAGACCAGATAATGTACTGTAACCATTAAGACTGTGTGCCAACAATGAAAGACATACCATTCCAAGATTTGCTTCAGCAAATTCAGATCCAAGACATTACGAGGAATCTTAGCAGATTAGGCAGCTTATACTGCATGGGAGTGGCTCATTTGGGGTTCACTTGCTGAATTAAATTAGACAAAATACAAAATGAAGTCATATAAATGTGTTTAAATTGCATACATTGTAAAACGATGAATTATTATATTAAGCAATCTGGCTTTCCACTTGACCTCTAGAACAATTCCATCAGCTAATAGCTGCTGTGTCATCTCACATCCTATGAGGGGACACACGCACAGAATCAGAACAGGTTGCTCACAGATGCAATCCCAGCTGAACCTGACCACAAATACTTAGCAGGGATCAGACCGTGAGTGTTAATGGGAGGTTTAGTGAACCTGAAATGCTCAAGGCTGATCACCTAGTTATCTCTAAAATTTTCTTGAGCCACTCTCCATATTGTGTGTCTTCTCAACCTCAAGTGGACAGAAAGAGAGCCCATGTTTCATTTCCTGTGTTGTCTTCCTCTTCCTTTCCACTTGTGCCCTTGAAGAACGGGGAGAAATGGATCCATCTCTGTGAGAGCCCTGGATGGGCCCAAAGCCAGCATTATGCCCAGTACCTACCACGCGGCGTCTCCCCCAGGCTATACCATCCTCGATGTGGACGCAAATGCAATGCTGTTTGTCGGAGGTTTGACTGGAAAATTGAAGGTAGTGTGCTGTCCCCTAGCCCTCTGATTTCTCCCCAATAGACAACCCCTGGCCTGATTACTTGGGGAGAAAGCGTGAGTGAGCTCGGCATTAGCTTAGCCAAGGCTTACCTAACTCATTTTCATGAAAACATGAATTATTTTTAAGTAACAGTTTTTCTCCTTGAATTTTGGGAGTTCACTCTCAAAACGCCTCTCCATGAGCTTATGTATATTTACTTAAACCATTATTGTTTCACCCTTATCTGTGCCACCCATTTTTTTATGATCCTGTTTTAGTTGCTTCAATAGTAAAGTGTTTTTTAAGGATCCTTAATTTTCTGAGTCAATGCATGATTTATAGATATGAAGTGTTATAAAGTCCATACTCACATCTAATTAAAAGATTTATGAATACCATGGGAAATATCACAGTAGGCATAAGCTTTCAAGTCATGATCTGGTTTTAAAAGTTTTCGAGTTGCTCTTTCCTCATTCTTACAGAGAAATGCACTTAATATTCATAATTGCTTCATGACAGGTCCTTGTGCATTTCAAATTGCAAAGTGTCTGCATTCTAAAGAGGCTTATGTTGATTAAATGGAATTAGCCATTGCGAAACGACCTGCGGGTGAGACACAAGAGCACAACCAAATATAATAGATAATCCGAGACTTGTCAGATCACCCTGGGACAAGATTAGTCGGAAAATGTGAAAAGCCTGGGTGAACCCAAATTTATGAGAACTCGACCTTCCTATGGAGTGAGGTTGCTTTATTTGCTTTGTCTATGAGATGTGACACTAAAGTATGGGAATTTATTCCATTACACTCTAAAATCATCCTCAATTTATGGAGCTACGTATAAATACATATGGTACATAATGATATAGTTATATTGCCAACTTTTCTTGCTTCCTGTGAAGATAAAGAGAGGGGCAGCACACAGTACAAAAACTATAAATTTTGCAATCAAATCCAGTTGCATCATAGTCGATATGATCTGCTATAACAAAGACAGGGGAGAACAGGGAGCTTATAACATAGCAACTAATACATTTCTCACAGTTTGGAGTCTGCAAAGCCCTAGATCCAAGGAAGACGTGGTGTCCAGTGGATCCTGTTCCTCATGGAAGGTACACCATTGCTGCACCCTCTCATGGCATGTGGGGAAACGTGTAGCTTGGGGCCGTTCGTATAAGGCACTAACCCCAGCCATGGAGGCCCCACTTCATGACCTAATCACCTGTGAGTTCTGAGTCCTCCTAATGCCATCACTTTGGAGGTTAAGAGTTCAGCATAAACATTTGAGCAGGACACAGACATTCAGCCCAAAATAGAGTAGGTCCTAATATTCTCCCATTTTACATTAAGGAGTGTGAGCGAGAATGAGTGGAAACGTCTTGACCAAGGTCAAACGATGCCCTGTGGCAGAGTGTGGACCTAAACACAGACTCCCGGCCCAGGAGTCTCCAGCCCCCAGCCACCGCACTTCACAGCCATGCAGCGCAGCGAGATGGGGTGTGTCAGATCATGACAAATCCCCCAACGTGGTAGCTATACCTGCAGTCACACTTTTAGAGTTACTATGCAAATGTCACTGGCAGAAAACAATTTTATGTCAATCTTGGAAATAAAAGGAAAACAGACAAATGAGATCTGTAGAAAGCTTTTTAACCACTTTAGCTCAAAGTTTCAAGGTTCCTAGGCAAAGCTGCAAACAAGTAGCTAAAGGAATTCACTGATGGAAATTTAAATGAGCAGAGAAATTTCTCTATGATAGCATTTCAGGATCTGAAGAGATGCAGAAAACCCAGGAGAATCCTTAAGTAGGATAATGAACCTCTGGGCAATTAAGAGGTTTCAGCTGATGATGGAGACGTCCAAAGACCACTCTGACCCACACCATCGCCAACAATCTCTCTACATGACCACCACAGTAGATATTCATGTGATAGGTTTGACCTGAAATTACAGCTTTTTACCAATTCATCTTCTTATGTTTGTTCTAAAACCCAAGCATGTCAACCTATCATTTTTCCAGATAATTCAACTAAGTGTAGATTATCTTTGACATAGAGTTTTTAAAGTTATAAGCAGCAAAATGTACTATTTATCCATAATTTGCCAAGACTAAAATGAACAGTTATTTAAATTAAATTCCCAGGAGCTCTAGAATGGAATAGGTGATTTTCTCTTTTGCAGTTATGGTATGACTTCTCTGAATTGGCATTCAACAGTTACTTATTGAGTCCCAGCAAACAACATCTACCTGATCCTTTCTAAGTTGCCTTAGCTTCCCTCATTCTCCTGCATGGAAAATGGACTTTGTTGGAATTTGAAAAGTTTAGGGCAGCACTACCAGCGGGTGATGTGTGGGTGCACCTGTACTCCTTTGCACCCTCAGGGAGGTCTCCTTCCCATGGCACCAAGACAGACCTCTGGTATTGTATGTGTGCCCCAGAGATGCCCAAGGACAATGCTGCCGCTGAACGAACACTGAAACTCCTGTGCAGCAGGAGCTGAGCTGACCATAAACAAACAGTGTCTAATTTTGTTCCCATAACAATCCCACATCGGAGCCCAAAGGATAAACCATGGAACAGTTTAGCAGCTGGCCTAAAGTTAAAAGTTGGGAAGGGCTTACAGTCTGCCCCAGGTATCCATGGGTGCTCCATCTTTAGATTCAACTCAAGTCTGAAACTATTTTAAAAAAATAAAATTTTATCTCTACGGAACATATGCAGATATTTTTCTTGTCATTTTTCCCTAAACAATGCTGTGTAACAACTATGATTTTAGGTTTTGTGAGTAATCTAAAGAAGATTTAAAATACATGCAGGAATTGTGAGTAGGTTTTGTGCCAACATGACCCCCATTTATCAAGAAAGGCTTAGACAAAGGCTTTGAAGAGATCCTGTGACCAAGTCCTGGAAGATGCCAAGGAAAAATTGCATTTACTAATGGGGATAAAGAAGCATGACAAAAAGTAACCAGGATCCACTGACAAGACATTTGAACTTTTCTCCTTTTATTGACCTTTCTGGAGCTGCTATGAAAATCTAATATAGTGATATGAAAAATGTATATAAAACCCAAAGTATCTGAAGAAATGGATTGGGGCTGGAGAGATGGCTCAGTGGAATAAGCACTTCCCTGGCAAGCATAAGGGCCTGAGTTCAATCCCCGGTTCTCCACAAAAGAAGAAATGGATTATAATTAGTCTGGCTCCTGCTGCAAGTAACTCTCATAGATACCTCCAGATTATTTGTGAAATTCTATATTATAACAAATACACTCTTTCTGCAGAAGGCTGATGCTGTACGTGTGATTACCTTCACTGGCTGTATGGGAGAAACGTACTTTGACAGCAAGCCTATAGGTTTATGGAATTTCCGAGAAATAGAAGGTGACTGCAAAGGCTGCACTGTCAGGTTAGTTGGGATGAAAGATCCCCTCAGGTCTGTTCTGTGTTTCACAGATGTTTTTATTTTACTGTGCAGTACTCTATTGTCTTGTGGATAATATGGAGCTATTTTGAAATGATTGTATTCAGAGGTGGATTTACCATGAAACTAATGAAATGTCCATTCCCCGCCTCCACTGAGGCAGGTGCTTTCCCCTGTCCTGAGAGTGCCATAGCAGTGCTTTTGGGTGCTCATAAGTTTTTTATAAAACCTGCAGAGGTAAGGTATTTCAACCACAGTCAATCAAGTCAACTATCTCTTGCCACTCCTGTGTCCCTTCCCAACTAGGTGTTTCTGTCTGTGTAGATATTGTGTAATGATAATTATTATTTCATGCAGAGAATACTCCCCAAACTGATTAAGCATGCATTGAAGCCCAAGTTCAGGCTTTATTTCCTACAGGACAGTTCTTACTGGCACATAAGGTTCTACAGTGCTTCCAGTAAAAACCATTCGACTCGAAAAGCTGGCTGAATAAGATGAAAACAAGGACCCGGGAAGGACCACCATAGACATTGCCAATTATGGGAGATAGCAGCTTGAAATTGTTTACAAACATGCAAACATGCATAGAGAATATAGTTTATATAATTGAATTGAAGGTGTAAAATAGCTAGTTAGATTTCTCAGCATAAAAATTCAGTTCCTTAATCACTTAGCATAAAATAGTTTCAGCACATTGAACTAAAACTATAAAATACAAATTAAATGCCTAGATGCTTAATGTGACATATATAACAATTCAAATGTAATAATTTTATACTTTTCAATTTCCAATTAAAGACACAAATACATTTTCAAAACCCAAATCCCTCCATTAATGTAGCACAATACACTTCACACTTTCTTCTCAATATTTCTAGAGTTTCAGGGAAAAAAGCAATTTGGATATAATTAGAATATCTAATTTAGAAATTTGCATTTATTCAATGATCAATAAGGGTTATAATCAACTCCCAACACTCTTTTATGGCTTATGTACTTATCAACATGGCATTAAGGATAATTTGAAAATCTGACCCACTTTAGATAGTTTCATCAATAATCTGTAAAATCTACTACAGAAGGTTATCCATACAATCCATTTAATACAACAAAAACCATGAGTTCCACATTAATATTCTGTTCTCATAAATAAGCATCAATTTTCCTTAAAGATTTCCTTGATACATTTTAAGTAAGATTTTCAAATGCCTATTGCCAGTAAGATATCTAAAGCACAGTTCAGTCAGCAGTACATATCATGCAAAGCTATACTGAGTCTGCAAATGTCATGCTCCTAACATACAGCTTATTATTCCAGTTAATAGAATTACAACAGTATTGCTGCATGTTCATAGTGTTTGTAGGTTGATTAAGATTCATGCTTACAGCTTCCTGGTACTACAACGAGTCCAACCCTATCCCAGGCACCAAGAAATGTATTATAAGGATGTGGTCAAAAGACAAACACTAAACTAGTTGAAATGCAAGGCATATATAAAAATCATTATATGGTACACAGGACACCATGACTATTCACACTGAGTTCAGGGCACCAAGCTCTGCTTTGTAGAGCTGTCATTTGAGAGGAGCTTTGACACTGAGCTAGAGTTCAATGAAAAGAAACAGCAGGTGGAATATGGCAGCGTTTAAGTCCTAGAGACCAAAGAACCAATGTAGGGAGGCTGGAGCGCAGGAAATGTGTCACATGGAGTTGGTGAATGGGAGGAGGGCTCCAACATGTTCTTCCCAACATGTTAATAAGTCGAACCTCCACGTAAGGCAGCTGAATGCCGAGTAAAACATTAAGCTGACACACCCAGCTCCAGAGCACTGTGCGTAAAGCGCAGCCCACATGCGGTGCCACTGCACGCACCTAGTGGCCTCCGCTTGCTTTGGAAGGGCTCCATCTTGGAAGTGCCCATGTCCCAGGGCTCCTCCATCCTTGAGCATGATTGTCACATCTCTGTCAGTCAGCACCATCTACCCTGTGCATGCGCCCTTGTCCTTACATTAGTTTCATCATCTCCTTTTAAGGTGAAGGTCGGTGTACTGAAATAATTGCATGGGCTGGGGAGATAACTCAGAGGTCTAAGTGGCTGCCTGGAAGGAAAGCACAAGGACCCAGGTTCGAGCCCCAGTACCACATGCTGTGCCAGCCCTGGAAACCTGGCATGGTGGTGCATGCCTATAATCCCAGTGGTGGGGAGGCTGAGAAAGGAGGATTGCTATGAGTCTGAGTTGTACAGTGAGACCTTGCACCAAGTAAATAAATGAATGAATAAATAAATAAATAAAGATAGAAAATAATTCCATATCTTAATTTCTAGTGTATCTTTCTGAGCTGTGAAAATATTTTGAATTGCATTGTTAGTGTCTTTGTGGGGGCCTGATTTTGTAAGCTTTAAGGACTCTACCCCAATACTATTTTCCTATAAGCCCAGCTTCCCATAAGATTAATTTCTGTAGAATTCTTGGTATTGTTTGGCTTTTATTTTCAGGAAAACATTCATTACACTTTAACATAAAAATCAGCTATTAAAGGTAAATAGCAAAAACTTATTTTACAGGAAAGGCTTTAAAGATGAGATTGAAAGAAGGAGACTGAGGAAATGGCAGAGAAGATGTTACAACGTCTCCTGGACATTGGCACTGGTCAAGTATCAATAAGTGCCACACTTGTTTTTATGCTTTAGAAGGATTAATCTCTTGGGGATATACAAAAATGTCTATTTCCTTTTCTTATATTTCCAAAAATCACATTAAGGTTAAACTACAAAAACATTTGCTATCAGTAAAATTTATTTAATGAACATTAAAATGATGAAATAATAGATTCTAAAACCCAATATATATGCAGTTTTATAATAAACAGGTTACATGTGGAAGAATAGGGCTATTCCAAAGTGCATGATTAATATTTTCCAACTTGACCTGACATTCAGATTCAAGAAAGAAACAAAAAGTAAGTTAAGGTGCTCTGCATTTTGTGGGGGGGTTGTATAGGGTTTCACTACATAGCTTAGATTCATAGTCATCCTTCTGTTTTCGTCCTTGCCAGTGCTGGGATCACAGGCATGCACCACCACACCAGGACTCGGTAACTGGCTCAGCACACCCGGTGGGGGCGGGGGGCGGCAGCAAGGCATGTGGTGCCGGGGATGGAACCCTGGTCTCTGTGCTTGCCTAAGCAGGTACTTAGTCCACTGAGCTATCTCATCGGCTCTGTTCTGCATTTATTTATTTATTTATTTATTTATTTATTTATTTATCAAGTGTATTTAGTACAGGTATAGAGGGTCTCACTACCTAGATCAGACTCATAGTGATTCTATGAGCGTAATTCCAAGTGCTAGGATTACAGGTAGCACCACTATGCCCAGTCTCAATCTGTCTCAGCATGCCCCAGGGGCAGGGCTGGCACAGCTCACTGGAATCAAACCCCGGTCCCTGCATCTGCCTAAGCAGGTGCTTTAGTCCACTGAGCTATCTGGCCGGCCCTTTGCTCATCACAAAAGAGTGTTCACCTTCGCTAGTATTTTAAAGCAAATAGGAAGGTTCCAATATAGTGGTGAAATATTACAATATCGCATCCCAAGAACTCCTACATTTGCCTATCCCCAGCTCACCAGTTTTGAGGCTCCACTTTCCTTTGTGGCTAGGATGAGCTAATGAATTAAGTGAAGACTAATGTACATCTGTGTGTTTGGCCACTCCCAGCATAAAACTTTCCCATAGATTTGTCTTTTGCTGGAATGAGAGAAAATCCCAAGTTCTCAGTGGAAGGGGCTTGGGGAATCATAGGTTGATTTAACCTTTCATCTCATGGTTGAGAAGCTCCGACATGAATTATTAAGTGACTTTTTACGTATTTAGTACAGGATCTACAGGGTCTCACTACGGAGCTCAGACTCATAGTGATCCTCCTGTTTTTAGCCTCCCAAGAGCTAGGATTACAGACGCTGTTAAGTGACTTTTCACAAAGCCTTCCTAAGGGTCCACCAGAGACTGCAATATACCTTCGCTATGATCTGTTCTTTTTACTATTGCACATAAAAAAATTCACAGATTAGGAGCAGAAGGATATGGACATATAAATGTCCTAAATTTCTTCTAAGAAAAATAAATACGTTTTGTTTTGATTCCTCCAGGTTATTCTCATATTCCATTATGAGGCTGTATTTTCCTGGTTATAACTTTCTAAATTCTAAGTAAGAATGAATTGAGCCAAAGGATTGAGGAATGATCAGTGGAGACCCCTCACCACCCTTCCTTGGGCTTGCACAGATTGCACGACAGGATTAATGGGAAATCCTCGCCAACTGAGAACTTCGAGGAATATCTCTTATGCAGATTCTCTGCAACATTATCTTATCTCAAATTCAATGCTCCAGAAATTAATCCATTTATTATGGTGATAAGAAAGTGTGGATGATGGGCAATTTAGTCGTTATTAATTATACTGCTGATAGACTGGTTTAGTTCCTGGGCCTTCCGGTTAGCATTTTTCCATGAATACTGAAAATGCATCTCTTATTATGTCCTCAGTCTTTTATTTGTCTCTTGTCCAGAGAGAAAGCCAACCGGATGAAAAGTTGTAATTGTTCTTCCTGCACAAGACCATTAGTTTTTCTATCCTATAAACTTCCTCATTAGCCATAATTTCATTAACAATATTCTAGGTTCCTGTCATTCTGTAAGAAAAACCATATTATGTCTAAATAGCTGCCTCTACTCTCAAGCTAGTACAACTCTCCAAATTCAGAGATTAAGTATATGCTAATATATAAATATTAAAAGTTTGAAAAATCCCTGCAATTGAGACTTATTTTGCAACAATGCCAAATAAAGATAGATATCCTATAGATACCCTCACATTTGAAATGTTTTCAAGTGTTGTATTCATGAGAATTATCTTAGATATTTAGTTATTCAACCAACATCGAATGATCCATATTCTCCATGAAGCACTGTTCAATATTGAAATCTCCTTCCTTCCACAAATGTTTAGTGGCTTCTATAAACCAAGAGTCAGGCTAGATGCTGAGTTTGTGCCTGGAGTAGAGAACAGACTCTAACTTTTTTATGATGTCCTAGAGCTTCTAGAATTCCCCGAGAATTGAAGGAGACAGATTTAAAATACACACACAGAACAGATACCTTTCATTGTCTGAATCTAATCTGTCGGATGACATGTTAGAGGCTGAATATACATATTAAGGGGCTACAGTGCATTACGATATGTATTATATATATGCACATGTGCACATATTGTGTGATAATGAAATCTATTTGCACAAATATCACTAAGACATACTTAACCACCACTAGGACTATCCACCAGGCATTTCTCTGAAACACAAAGCATTTGAAACACCAGTGATGTGGTTTTTGAACACCTAAGGAAAACCAAGTGAGAGATAATGGGTTTTGGTCTAATATGGTAGCAGTGGAGGTGGAGAGAAGCAGAGGATTGAAGCTATATTGGGGGTGGTTCCTGCCTACAGTAGCTTGCTACCCAGTCCCAGAGGATAGTTTGTTGCACTCAATAATAACACACATCATAGACCAAGCAGCCTAATTCATCTGAAATGTTTCTTTGCAGTCCTCAGGTGGAAGATAGCGAAGGGACTATCCAGTTTGATGGAGAAGGTTATGCACTGGTCAGTCGCCCCATTCGCTGGTACCCTAATATCTCTACTGTCATGTTCAAGTTCCGGACATTTTCATCAAGCGCTCTCCTGATGTACCTTGCTACACGAGACCTGGTAAAGATCACACACACGGCAGATCCTCTAGGACTGAGCATCCATTTGCATCTCTCTCTCTCTCTCTCTCTCTCTCTCTCTCTCTCTCTCTCTCTCTCTTTAGAATTTCAACACAATTTTTAGTTACTGGTAAAAGTTTCTACTATAAAAGGAAATCCAAACAAAGGAAATCTAGACTTGACTCATGGTAGCCAAAACTCCATGACGAGACAATACTTACGTATTTCCATTGATAAGTTTAATCACAGGTACAATTTAATCACTATTTATTCTCAGTGTAACTCCCCATATAGTCCTTTACCAAAAGCAGCCAGTAAAAATACTTCTGGTATAGAATTATGCAGCAACAGAAGTGTTTTTTGTTTGTTTGTTCGAGAAGGGGTACTAAATATTCTTCAGCCTCATGTCTTTCTAGACAATATCTCTTGCAAATTCTTTCATGGAACAAGTTATTGGTTTGCTTACGATGTGTCCAAGGAACCCATTTGGTACTACCATAATGAAAAAATATGTCCAGTTAATTTGGTCATGATCTTTTACACCATAATGTCACACCTGCAAAAATTCCAAAATAGTAATACCAATTCAGTTTCCCAGATGTTTATGTTACAGTGTAATGTGGTCGGTAAGTTGGCCATAAGGCCACAGAATGAGCCCCATAAAGGAGTGAACAGCCATAGATTTCTCCATCCATGTAATCACTGATATATTTTTGCTCTATTAATAGAAAGATTTCATGAGTGTAGAGCTCGCGGATGGGCGCATAAAAGTCAGCTATGATCTGGGTTCAGGAATGGCTTCCGTTGTCAGCAATCAAAACCATAATGATGGGAAATGGAAATCATTCACCCTGTCAAGAATACAGAAACAAGGTGAGTTTTTATAGTAATAAGGCAGCACGGACCTTAATCATACCATCCAAGGCTCCCAGGAACCTAATCAGGGGAACGACCTTGTCTGTAATTTTAGCTACTCTCAAGTTCTCTGAAAAATTGATACAGTCATTTCTTTGGCTTAGATTATAGGTGGTTTGCATTAGACAAGACTGATTGAAGAGCCAAATGGCTCTCTGTCATTTTCTTGGGAAACTGAGAGCTTAATTTGAAAGCATAAAACTGTCTTACAACTTGTAAAATTATATCCTGTAATAGGTTTGAAAAATGCTGTATGCTTTTCTTTCTTCCTATTTTGCCAAGATGTTTCCTTTAAAGCCACCCACAATAGGACCTATAAGGTATGCCCCTGCTACCAGTACTTTGCTTTTGAAAAATCTCAAAATTTTGTGTATTTTCAAGAAAATAGTTGATCAGTTATACTATGACATTTTATGGTTCTCATAGTTTTGAAAACATGTCCACAAGAATTATTTCATTGATGGTATAAACAAATATTTTGTTCTGTTGTTAGAGAAAAGAAAACATACACTCCAGCTTATACCTGTTCGTTGACATGGGTAAGATCTCACAAAAAAAAAAAAAAAACAGAGCACCAAGTCTGTGGGCTCTGAGCATGGTGCTGTTGTAGCTGGGTATCATTCCTCTATTCCTGTGTGCTGTGGCATTACTGATACCTACAGATGAAACTGGTATCATTGCTAGGATAAACAGACCTCACTAATGTTGAGGATACTAAAGTGACATTTCATGAAAATTTAGCTTTGCCTTCACACCATTTTCCACTCCTGCATTTAAAAAACATGAGTCAAGCAGCTACTAAGTAGGGCCAAGGACCCAGTGAGGGGCAAGACAAGATACTGCCTTCGAGGAACCTGCAATCTTGTGGCGATGGAGGACAGAGCTGAGTGCAGGAAGAGCTGTGCAGTCTGGGCTCAGAAGAGAGACCTGTAAGTCCGAAGGAGAGGCAAGCTCTGAGCTCCTGATGCACAAGCAGGCAGAGAAGGGTTAGCTGGGCGAGACGCATATGAAGACCTCATGGGGCCAACAGGCTGGAAACCCGGAGCTGTCAGCCAACAGGGTACATCATTTCCAATCACATCTTCTTAGAACATGCAACCCTTGGGGAAAATGCTCAGCAGAAGTAAACCTAACTCTAGGCTTCTATAAATTGCAGAGCCTCCCCTGTGTCTGCTGCTCCCGGGTAGGAGGCACATGCACCTATTACAAGCTCTGTGTAGTTCAGGAAAAGATGGTCTAACTTGCTTAACCCAGCATTTCCCACACATCCGTCATCCAGAAATCTTCCCAGCCCCTCAGTACTACTATCATCCTCCAGAACACACTGTGAGAAACACAAGGGCCTCCACTGGCTTTCTGAATGGTTGTTGGTGGAAAGTCGTCAGATGAGCTTGAGATAACAGCAAAGCCCTGGCAGCTCATCAAAGGAGGTTGGGTACAGGGAACGAGGAGAGTCTTCAGCGGATGACATCATCAGATGTATATTTTAAAAAGAAGCTTTTGTACTAGCTTGGAGTGTAGGTTTAAGATACTCGGGAATCAGCACCAGCAGTAAATTGGTAAGCAGCAAGGGAAATGGAAATAAGTTAATAATCATGAGGAGGTTAGGAAATAATGGAGGTGAAAGATAGTGAGCATCTTAATGCTGAAAAGCTTGGTGGTATACTTGATACAGAGGCTGAGTATATAAAAGAGGTCTTGAATCATTCTTCTCTTTTCTTGGATAATATGATTATGTTGATAATATTCAAGAGCCTATTAAATAAAAGGAAAGATAATGGGTTTTTCTATAAAAGACACTGAGTGTTATTTCATACATGTTGTATTCAAGGTACATTTAGTACCTGTAGCAGCCTAGGGAAGACCGGTATAATTAGCTCTGTTTATTAGAGGATCACGCAGTTCTAGGAGAAAGATAAATAACTAGGAATCAGTCATCTTCTCCACAGTAGCATCCAAACAGCGTTTAGGAAACCAAGCAGTCGTGTCTGGGATAAAATGACCCAAAGCCATGCACCACTCAAATATTAAAACAGTAAGGTGAAGGAAGCGTCCATCAAGGAGACTATAAAACACAATCAGAGAAAGCAGAAAGAATTATGTAAGAAAGCCTGATGTTACAGAAACAAGCTTCTAAAGTAATCAAGTTTAACTTTTATGTGGTAGAGAATGCTCGCAGAAGATGGGAAGAAAGAAGTCCTCAGTTTTGGAAATGTAGGGATCCCTGGAGGTTTTGGCAGGAACAGACACAGGGAGAGCCCATTGCAAAGCATCATGGTGCAAAGCACTGTGTGAAAACAGATGCTGTGCGTGTAGAACAACTCCACAGGAAATTTTCCTCTAAAATCAGGAATAAATGAAAGGGCAGCAAAAATGAAAGGGGATGCAGTGGTGGCGTATAAGGATCATAATGTAAGAATATGTTGGTTATCTCCATCAGCTCTTAGGACATAGTAAATGCTGAGTGTTTGTTGAGGGGATTAGTGATTTTGATCATGTTTTCATGCTGTGGAGAATAGTCTAGTAAAGAGGAAACAATAAGAAATATAAAAGCAAAGATTCATGGGTACTATAATCCAGGACCTTAGAAAGTATGCTCCCAGGCAAGAGAGAGTGCTTAGTCTGAGAGAGAAAAAGAAATCCTTTTTACCCACAAGAGGATGAGGAAAGGGGGACAAGTAAAGGCAAAGATAAAATTGTAGACATGGAATAAGATTTTGAGATAATTTTCTCCAGAGACCCCACATTTTTACTGAAAGCATATGATAAGCATTTTATGGATAAGCATTTTATATGAAAGCATAAATAGTAGCAGGGAAGAGATAGTCAAATAACAGAATTAAAGAAAGTTGAAAAGATGGATACACTTGTTCAAAAGACAAAATAGAGAAATTACTGGGTTATGTAGGGTGGTGCTGCAGACTCTAAATAAAGTATTGCATTGAAAACAATCCACAGTCTAAAACATGGAGATAGAATGGCTCAACCAGATAAGAGAATGATTTCCATAGAGGACAATGTAGTTCCTACAAACAGCATGACATCTAGACTTTTTGATTCTGTCTATTGAAACTATAATCCAATGGTCCATGGACCTAAACAGTGTGAAGTCAAGGTCAAGGTACAGTGCTGGCTAAACCTGAAAAGACTCAACTCCCATGATCCTCCAACTCAGAAGGCTCTTCTCCCGGTTGGTAGAATTTTCCAGATTTTCACTAGACCCACACTGCTATTACAATGGAATTCAGAAGTTGGAAGCCCAGTCATTGTCTTCCACTTCATCTTAACCTGGTCTCACCCCTTAGACATAGTTATCTGGTAGCTTCTCTTGACAAGTGTCCTCTTGAGACTTGGGACTGAGTCTAGGCCACTGCCTTATGCAGTCGTGAACATTTCTACCCAGTGTGCAGAGCAATCATCTTCCCTTTTATTTAAGATTTAATTCTATGAAATATCTCGAAATCTCCTTTTGTGTGCTGTCATAGTATCACCATCGTTTTAAGTCATATTAATCCTATGAGATTCAGTAATTCAGAAATTTGATTTTCAGATTATATTGTGAACTTTGTTTTTTTGTTCGTTTTGCGAAACTGGGGATTGAACTCAGGCCCTTGCGCTTACAAGAGAAGTGCTTATTCTACTGAGCCATCTCCCCAGCCCTTATATTGGGAACTTTGACCTTCTCCTATCTGTATCTGTTTCCCTTTCTGTCATCTCTGACATCTCACCATCAACTTTGCAAATCAAATAAGTGAGATTTGGCCAGGGATATAGCTCAGTAGCGGGGCACTCACATGGCAAGCTTGAAGTCCTGAGTTCAATTCCTGTTTCCAAAAGAAAAACTAAAAAGATCAAATAAGTGAGACTTTTATTATAATAACTATAGCTATCTCATTTTCTGTATGCATTCTCACATATACCTTATATAGTCACTGAAGCTTTTCAGGTATTTTATTATTCCAGCAGGATAATTAACATGAGCTTGATTTTCAATTAGAAATAAAAGCATTGAAACCATACAAGAAATAAAGCAATGGTTATAAGCAAACAGTTTAAAAAGAAAAACAAATATGGATTTCTTATACATAGATGAGAAATCCAGTATTGATGGACTACAAGAATATGGTCGTTTACTTGTCACAGCACTATTAAGTGATCACAATTAAACACTGAAATAAGAGTTACAATTGATTCCACATTAGGAAAATAGAAAATAAATCCAAAATGTGTTATCACAGCACAGCTATTTAAATATCTAAAGTTTAAAAGACTCATCATACCCAGTGTTGGCAAAAGAGCAGAAAAACTGTAAGACTCTTGCTGAAAGTGTAAAATGACAGATTTATGTTACTCTAGATGTACATGCCATCTGAACCAGCTGCTCCACTCTAGACATTCACCTAAAATGCAGAGAAGTTAACATATGTGCAAAGACATGAATGAAGTATGCATACCACCTTCATTTCCGCTATTCAAAAACCCAAAGCAACTCAGAAATCTCTGAATAGGTAAATGTTGCAGACAGTAGTTTATCCGTACAATGAAATACTACTTGGTCACAAAAAGGAAAAGAAAAAAAGCTACTATATATGTGAAAATAGATGAGTATCAAAATAATTTCTGAATGAGTTAATGGAGACAAAGCAGAATACATTTATATAAAATAATATACACAATACAAATGTATTGTAATGTGCAGTTATAGAAATCAAATAGAGGCTACTTGTGGGCAGGGAAGGTTAGGAAAGAAGGATTACAAAGAAGCTTAAAGAAACTTTTAGGGTCATTGGAATGAATCTTCATTTCCTTTATTGTGCTGATGAGTGCATAGGTGTATATGTTTTATTTTGGTTTGGTTTGTGTTGGTTTGGTTTTGGTACCAGGAATCGAACTTAGAACCTTGCACTTGCCAGGCAAGTGCTGTGCTGCTGAGCTGTGTATCGCTGGACTCACAGGAATATATGTATTCCAAATCTTGTTAAGCTATAAAAGCAAAATATAGTATATCAATTTCATGTTACTAAAACTTTTAAAAACAGCGTAGGGATTTGAGGTATTTTTAAAAATCCCCAAGGTTACTGACTAGTTAAATCTGAACAATGAAAATGATTTTGTAGATTAGGAAAGCAGGTAAGGGCTGCCACCACAGGAAGTAAATTGTACAAGCCACTGAGGTTGCACACACCCGCAATCCTGAGACCCAGGAGGCTGAGACAGGACAATTTCCAGTTCCATTCCTGTCTAGCCAATTTAGTGACTTAGATCCTATCTCAAAAAGCAAGAGGAAATAAAAGGACCAGTCTTGCAGCTCAGTGTGAAAGCCCTCGAATCAAGGCCTAACACTGCGAAAAAATTAAGTAAAACAGATTTGAGGGTAGAATGATCATGATTTCAATTTGGAACGTGTGTTGTCCTGAAAGAAAATACGAATAATAGTATTTTGCTGTTTATCATGGATTTTTAAGTAGAAAATAAAGTTGGGTCAAGGGGGTCAGAGCAGTGAGGAGAGGCGGGGAGATGGCGCCAGAGGACTTCAGCAGGACTGAGGAGTGGTAGGAACTGAGGTGGGGCTCCGGCGGGGTGTGTGGTGGTAGGAACTGAAGCGGGGCTCCCGCGGGGTGCATTATTACTTCCTTTAGAGTTTGTATTAGCTGTTTTAAATTAATTATTCCCAACTACTTTGAAAAACCACAGCCTCTTGCAGATCAAAAACGTTCCTCGGGATTGGCTTCCCTGCCTTCCTGGAGAGTCAGGTCGTGGAACGCAGGCGCTCGCAAGGGTGTGCCGGCCCCAGGCCATCCGCGTGCTAGTAACTACAGGTGTGTCGCACCCCCAAGGGCACTGATGCAGAAACACAGTCAAGAAGACAGAGAAGAAAAGAATTCCCAAATTAAAAGCAAGCAAGTGATAACAACCCAGCATTGTTAAGGCCCTACTCTATTGCATAAAACCTTTATTTCTCTGCTTACAATAAAATGATGGCTGAACTCAACTTTTGAAATTTTGTGTTAATAGCTTATTTTCCCATTTTGTAAGGAAAATAAATAGAACAAGAAATAAAGTGACTGTTAGCATTTCCCAGCATCTCCCTGCAGAGCCCTCCTTGCTGCTGTCACTCAGGAGGTGGAGGAAAGCTGTCCCTTGACGTTAGTACCAATTTGCCAGCCCACCTCTCCCTATCAGGGTTAACTTTTTGGCCAGTGACTTTCAATTGAATTGTGCAACTGCTCTTTAATCAATTTTCTTAGAATGATTTCTAAAAATGCATAGATTCACAGCCGCAAGAAGGAAGACTAGCGGCAGTCACTGGCTTGCCAGTGATAGAGCAGAATCTCATTTCATGGAGAGCATTAAAATATCCACCAAGTCTGCAAAAAGAGACGATTTCCATGTTCCAGTCAGGAGCACCATATGAAAACTTCTTTGTTATCTGGATAACAAGGAATATGTGTGAAGAAGTCTTGGAAACAGTTTTGTGTATCTAACCACCAGGCCACTCAAAGGGATATTAATATACAAAACTAATTATAGGTATGAAAGTAGTTACACTTGTGAGCTGCGAAATGAAAGTTTATACAGGTAATTAAATTTTGAAATCTTAATTTATTATATCACTCTGAATGGGAAAATTATTCTTTTTGCATATGTTTATTGTTTGCTTTTAAAAAAATCTGTTTTGAGAGCCAGCAAGGTACCTCAGTGTTCTGAAGCACCTGCTTAGGCAAGTGCAGGGACTGTGGTTTGATCCCCAGAACCGCATGCTGCGCCAGCCCTGTCCCCTGGGTGCTCTGAACTGGCCACTGAGACCAGGAGTAGTGGTGCACGCCTGTAATCCCAGCACTGGGGAGGCTGAAAACAGGAGGATTACCATGAGTCTGAGCTGCTGCAAAGTGAGATCCTGGGCCAAATATGTTTTAAAAAAAAGTCTGAGACACTAATAGTTTTGGTATTTGATTTTGGACATTTATGTGACACCGGTGTTTGACGTTACCACCCATTCTTTTGAATGGTAATAGGATGAAGTAGGGTGGGATTTTGCAACTTAACATTTCTCTGTGTTTGTCAAAGAAAAATAATTCCGAAAGGTAATGAGTTGAGAGAAAAGAATAATCTGTGGTCAGACAAATCTGAACACAGCTCTTGCTCCACTTAGCTCTTGTAGAATCGCACGGCAGCAAGTCACCCAGTTGAGGAGGCCGTAAAGCTAAGACTTGTGTTGCACCCAGTATTTGTCATATTTACTTGAACCATGAACATCTGTGAAACTAGGACTCCCAAAAATGAACACTTAGAAATCTCGGTATAAGGCACTGATTCAGATGCCTAGTTTTGAAGTCCAGGATAATTTACATCTTTTTTAAAAGAGGATAAAAAAAAAAAGATACAGAATTTTAAAACAAGATGATAGGAAATTAGTAATGGTGATTATATTGCATATAAAGCAGTTGCTCGGATTACCAGATGTAGGCATGTAAGATCGATCAAACAGTACTAACACTAACTGTTCCTTTCAATGAACTAATAGAAATTAGTAGTACCATTACCTTAGCTAATATATGTTCTTCCTTTCTTTGCTAATTTCCCCACCCCAGTTGTTCTTTCCTTTATGAGCAGTTTCTTTCCCTTTCACTCTATTTACTACAGTTTCTGGATCTTATTTACTCTTTCAGTTTCTTATGCTAGGGAGACAGTAGGATGTCTACACACGCAAGCTGGATTTATTTCACTTTTAAGTATTCACGTCTTGTATCAAGCAAAGATGGAGACTAGCTCTATTGTGTTAATGAACTGGTATCCTTATATAAATAAAAAATCCATAACATATGAAATAGTTTGAGTCTATTTAGATATCATGGTGAGAAAACGTGTAAGTCACAAAGAGTTTATTTTGACCCTTAAAATGAAGGAGGTCCACGGATGACATAAAGCATTCATTCACACCTGCTCTAATGCAGAGAAGTGACCTTCCTCTTTCCTTTTAGAGTTTTGTTTCTAAATCCTTATCTTCATCATAGCCGGCCAGATAGCTCAGCAGACTAAAGCACCTGCTTGGGCAGAGCGCAGTGGCCAGGACGCGACCCCTGGTGTGCTGTGCCGGCCCCGCCCCCGGGGCACGCTGAGAGGGCGAGTGAGCCTGGGTGTGGTGGTGCGCTCCTGTAATCCCAGTGCTCAGGAAGCTGAAGTCAGGAGAATCACTGCGAGCCTGATCTGTGTAGTGAGAGCCTGTGGACCCTGGAGACCCTGTCCTAAATTCATCTAAAAAACCCAAAAAAGCAAAGGAAAATTATGGAAATGCTTAATGAATGCTTAGTGTTAATCTTTTCAGTCTTCTTTTTTTTTCTCTCTCTTCTTAATTTCTTATAATTTTTTCTCTTTATTTCTTTCCTCTTCCAATTTTGCATGCGTATATGTAATAAGCTGAACAACTAATCTAAAGAGAACACTGAAATACAACAAATACTGTAAAATTCATATTATTGTGTTTAGCAAAACTCTATCATTCATAATTTATTGTTTTAATACTATCTTGTACTCTGTACTCTCTGTAAAAATTTTTTAAAAAAGAACTTTTTAAAAAATATCTTGAGAGCACCAAGGGCAGAGCCCTAAAGCCCGAGGACCGTGGCCACCTCCCAACGCCTCGCTCTCAGGACCCCACTGTTCCGCAGAACCACACCCACATTCAACCGTAATGCATGAGGGAGAAACACTTTACACCTGAGCCTAACGCTGTAGTCCTTTGGATACTGGCATTTACAGAAAGACCCATGAAGTCAACATATTTCTAATTAATTCCCAATTCGCTACACAGTCTAATATTTAAACGATAATTTCTGCCTGCTTGCCTACATTATGGAAAACTGGACTTGAGTCCATCCAGTTGTCATTAGTTTGCCTTCATTATGTTCTAATCATTATTTCTCTACCGTCCTCTGTGGGTAGTTCAACAGTGTGTCTTATGGGTGCCATTGTTTCTGCAATCATGAGACAGTTAAATACAGCATAAGTGCTTCTGAAAGTTGGGGTTAACTTATTAATGAAGCTATATTTACCTTGAAGTATCAGCAACAATGTAGGCATGGTTGATTTTGCTCAAATTAAACATTAGTATTTTTTTTTTATCTCCTTTACAGCCAACATATCAATTGTAGATACTGATACTAACCAGGAAGAGAACATAGCAACTTCATCTTCTGGAAACAACTTTGGTCTTGATTTGAAAGCTGATGACAAAATATATTTTGGTGGTCTGCCAACCCTGAGGAACTTAAGGTAACTTGGCATGGATTTAAAGCTAAGAATCAGGGTTTAATTAAATGGTCGTTATGCTCAATAGCATTCTGAAGCTTGATTACTATTGGAATGTCATCCGACCTTTTGCTGCAGAAAAGTCTAATTAAAAAAATAAAAAATCACGTTGTACCTCAGAACACCACCAATATTTAGGAACCAAAGGATGAGCCTGACATCTTTGTTGAAGAGATGGATTGGAATCACTATGAATCACTATTTCCCACACAGGCACCTGCTGAAAAGAATTATGAAAGTAATTAAAGGTGGAAGCTGGAGTCGAATGTGGGTCTTGTAATTGCTGCTCCCCCCGCAATGCACTGGAGATAATGGCACTCTGACATTGCTCAGTTCTGAGAATTAGTCAGTGTTCCAGGGTACTGTGACTATCACCTGCTAAGCATTAGCATCCTAATGGCATATCGGAGCATCCCCACATGTCAAATACTAGAGCTATATTCACTATTCTCCTGCCCATGCCAACATATTTTCTTGCATTCACATATGCTTTGTGGCTTGCAGAATGGGCAGACATGATTAGCTCCTGGTTCAGTTAGTGCACCAAATAAATAACAATGTAGATCACAAAATATCTCATTTGGCAGCATTTACTGCTTATCATAAAACATCAGATATTTTGCAACCTGTACAGAAAATGGTACTCAATAAATGTTCATTGAATTTGATCAGAATGGGATAAGTTGATTTGGTCAAACTGTATGAGATTTACTAGAAAGAGAGTGTCATGTTTTAAATTTTTTGTTTTGCTTAGTTTGGTGATTTTTAATGTGCATCAGTTCCTATTTACATATTTGTATGCTAAAAAGACAGGTTACATTTGGCAGAAGTGTCAGAATATTGAAGTTGGAAAGTCTGATGGCCAGATTGTTCCTCTGCCTTCCAAAGGTGCCAGTTGATAAGCATGGTGGTGCTCACCATGCACAGGTCTCCATGAAAGGGCGTGTTCCTCTGTGCTAAGGTTGCAAATTCAGGGCATCGGGCCAGGAAAATCACTGCAGAGCAAAGCATTTGAGCAGTGATTTATCATAGTTGCTACCTGGAAATCAACCTATTAAACAGGCATTCAACGCATGTTTATGGCTGTCCACCATGTCCGAGGCACTGTACCAAATACTGAGGAATCTAGGAATTCTTCAAATGTAAGAGTTTTTTTGCAAAGTCATTAACTATATTCTAATAAATATTAGATATAGTATAAAATAAGACTATCTGAAACTGACTCACTTATTGTGATGATTTTAACTATCATAGTGATTTTTAGACACTGTCTCTAGGCAGGTACATGTTAACTCACTGGAGAAAGGCTTGTGTCTTGGCTGTCTTGGGGATGATCTAAGTAATGAGTCTATCATTAGCATGTTTCCTTTTTCCTGCATTTAGGGCAAGGCCTACAGAGTCTACAGGGTCTCACTATATAGATCGGGCTCATAGTGATTCTCCTGTTTACAGCCTCCCAAATGCTGGGATTACAGGCCCAGCCACCATGACCAGTCTCAATTGCCATCTCAGTGCACTCTGAGGGCAGGGCCGGCACAGCACGTGAGGGATCGAACCCTGGCAGCTACACTCTGCCTAAGCAGGCCCTTTAGTCCACTGAGCTATCAGCCCAGCCCCAATCATTAGCATGTTTTTACCATCTCCATATAGCATTTTGTAATGATAATATTGCTAAAACGTGACATATTATTTCAAAATAAAAGATATATATTTGTGACTGAGAAGTGAACCAAATTATTTTGCGTACAGGTTCAATATGATCAAGCACAAATGCTGTGGTCAATAACTTATGTTTATTCATGTTGGTAAGCTCAAGAAGCGATACTCCCGAGCACAGACGCACACTGGTGCATTCTCCCATACAGCTGATACAAGGAAGTGCTCTAAGTTCACACTCCAAAAGAAAAAGCGTGAGGATTTCTAATTTCACTTCACTCCGAGGCGTATGTCTGTTCTGACAGCATTTTCCATTCTTCTCCTGTGAGATATTTAGAAGGCTTGCAGTGACAGCTTACTGTTGTGCTAAATGAATATGCAATTACAAGTAAACTGTCTTTTTCTCTCCCCCCTTCTCTCCTCTTTGACTTAGTATGAAAGCCAGGTAAAGTTTCAATTTATGCATGCCTTCTTGCAGTGCATGGGTGGGGGACACAAGGGCTGCTTCTGGAAAGCAGCAGTGCAGACAAAGCAACACCACCGCAGCTTTGCTAAGGGTAGAAGTCGGGAGTGAATAAAGCGCTCCCAGACCCTTCCCGCTCCACCCTTCTCTCACAAAGAGGCTGCTGCTGGCCTGCGATCAACTGTAAGGCAGCAGGAGCAGTCTCGCCCACAGTGTAGTTGTGCCGCTCACTTGTTGAAACACTTGCACACAGCGCCCCCTGGCGACCAGCAGCACACACAACTTCCTTCTGAGACCTAGGAAGAGAACAGAAGTCTCTCGGGTTGAACTCCAGCCTCCTGCTTCCCCAGCACCACGCTGTCTGCTGAGCGCTCCACCTGCGCTCCCAGATGCTTCTCGCTGCCTCTTTGCTTCTGCGGGGCTGAAAACATACAACGTGTGTGTGGCCTGTGCGCCTCTTGTCAACGCTCCTTATTTATTACCACTATTGTTTAGAGTTAGCTACGGAGCCAGAAGAAAAGAGTTTCTGGAAGCACGAATGAACAGGGAAGAAATCTGTGGAGGGTCCTCCCAGCGACTCGGGAGCATTTTAATTCGTAGAAGAATTAGCCGCCTCTCTAAATGTCAGGTCAGACCCCCAAGAAGGGCAGGATTTGCACTCTGAAGCCCGGGGCTTCCCATTCCAAAGCCTCACTGCGCCAGATTTCTGGAAAGGAGAAAATGAGCACAAGAATGAGTCAAGAAATGTTTAAACCTGAAGTGCACCGTTTTAATACCAGAAACTAGACAATAGGAAAACTATTTTCCAGTTGTTTTAGCACAACCTTGTTAGGAGGCTGCTTGGGCTATATTTGCTAAGATGGCTAAAAGACCAAGGCTTCCCATGGGAAGATGGGCGAGTGGGCCTCTGGGACAGCGCTGAGGCGCTTTACACGTCTTCCTGTGCATGGTGACCTCAGAGAGCAGAGGCCACGGCTATCAGGAAGAATTTTCTCACTGTTGCCGTTACTCACCTCTTGCGATTTTCATGACATTGAG